GACCACTGCATACTCAACACCACCATTCGCACCTATCCTTTGGCAAGACCCTACGGAGAGGCAAAATTACCCGATTACACGAGGTTTCGGCAAGTATACGCCAATTCGACACCCATTGAGGAGCAAGGATACCATGCTTGGTCCCAGCAACTGGTTTCTTCATTACGCTCCACAGAAACACAAATTAAACTCTTCGAGGCAACTCCGGCGGTGGATAACCTTCTCCTTCACCTCTGGGAGGCCCGGCGCAGCCTCGTCCGCCGATGGCGCCGGCAAAAACACAACCTAAATCTATAAAGGCGGAGGAGCGAATCCTCCTTCGCCTTTTTACTGAAACTCTATTGTGCCCGGCAATCCTAAAACACTTTGACCCCGCTTGCACGGGGAAGTGCCCGCATTGTGAGGAAAATTCCTCTGACATTTTGTACATGGTGTGGGCATGCCAAAAAACCCCAAACCTTACCCCACTACCCAACCCTTCGCGGGAGGACTGGGAGGCAGCCCTGCTCGGCTGCTCTGACCTGACGGTCCAACGGGCCCTGGTCGAGCGTGCCCAGGCCGCGGCCAACGCCAATGGGCTCCCGTAAAAGGGAGCTAACCTAGTGTTTGTACGGGGCGGCCCCTTAAGGACCGTTCCCACTCTCCCTGTAAATAACATCTGTAAATAAATGTTTTTCAGCAGCAGTACTGATACGCAAGAAGCCAATCAATAAGGTAGCACTTACAGGGAAAGTAAAAGAATTCAGTCTCGCTTCAGATCAGGTACTTGGTTCTTAGTGAGGAAACCAACCTCAGCATAAATACAATGAATGATAATATTACGCGTATCATTACGGAGTGTGTAGTGGATGTCGGAGGCAGGGTAGTTAAACAGGACACTGGCAAACTTTCCTAAAAAACGAAGAATCTGATTAAGAAGCGTCAGATAATGAAAGTCTCAAGTACAACAGACAAACTAGAACTGGCGGAGCTTTCGAAGTTGATTAATAGGTGTAAGGCATGCGATGTAAGAAGGTATAACATGAAGAGAATTGAACATGCTCTGAAAAACGGAAGACGCGTCAAAGCAGTCAAGAGGAACTTGAGATAGGCAAAATTCGGATGTATGCACTAAGGGACAAAGAAAGCAAAATAACTACCAATATAGACAGGATAGTTAAAATAGTGGAGGAATCTTACAGAGATCTGTACAGTAGCCGGGAGAACTAGCAGTAATCCAGATGACACCCCACCAGTAATGATAGAAGTCACAAAAGCTTCGGAGAGCAAGCAAAGAGGCAAAGCTGCTGGTGAAAATCAGGTAACATGAGATCTGCTGAAAGATGGAGGACCGATTGTTTTAGAAAAACTAACCGCCCTGTTTACTAGGTGTCTCCTGACGGGAAGAGTACCAGAGTCTTGGAAAAATGCTAACATCATCTCCATATATAAGAAAAGAGATGACAAGGGCTTGAAGAATTACAGGCCGATCAGCTTGCTCTCTGTAGTATACAAGCTATTTACAAAGGTAATTGCGAACAGAGTAAAGAAAACATGAGAATTCAATCAACCAAAGGAACAAGCAGGATTTCGGACAGGTCCCTCAACAATCAACCACATTCATACTATCAATTGGGCAATAGAGAAATGCTCAGAATATAACCAACCACTATGCATAGACGTCATAGATTACGAGAAGGCGTTTGATTCAGTAGAAATATCAGCCGTCATGCAGACACTGCGGAATCAGGGCGTCAATGAAGTATGAAGTATATATAAACATCCTGGAAGGAATCTACTGGGGATCAACTGCTACCTTAGTGCTTCATAAAGAAAACAACAAAATACCAATAAAGAAGGGTGTAAGGCAGGGGGACACAATCTCTCCATTGCTGTTTACCGCGTGCTTACATGAGGTTTTCAGAAGCCTAGTATGGGAACAGTTAATGATAAGAGTTAATGGAGAGTATTTTAGTAACCTGCGCTTCGTCGATGACATTGCATTGCTGAGTAACTCAGGGGACGAATTGACTCATGATTACGGAGGTAGACAAGGAGAGCAGGAAGAAGGGTCTTAAAATTAATCTGCGGAAAACGAAGGTAATGTATAACAACATCGGAAGAGAGCAGCGCTTCGAGACAAGTAATAGTGAGCTTCAAGTTGTAAAAGACTATGTCTACTAAGGAAGGTAATAACTAACCATGCAGCCGAACCACGAGATTTAAGTAACTAGAAGAATAAGAATGTGGTGGAGAACATTTGGCAAGTACTCTCAAATTATGACAGGTATATTTCCATTATCCCTCAAGAAGAAGGTATATAGCAGCTGTATCATGCCGGTACTAAGCTACGGAGCAGAAACCTGGAGACTTACAAAGGGGGTTCAGCTTAAATTGAGGACGACGCAGCGAGCAATGGAAAGAAAACGATAGGTGTAACTTTGAGAGACAAAAAGAAAGCCGAGTGGAGTAGGGAACAAACCGGGGTTAAGGATATCTTAGTTGAAATCAAGAAGAAATGAACAATGGCTGGGCATGTAGCGCGTAGACAAGATAACCGCTGGTCATTAAGGGTAACTAACTGGATTCCCAGAGAAGGCATGCGGGTTAGGGTGACACAGAAGGTTAGGTGGGCAGATGAAATTAATAAGTTTGTGGGTATATATTGGCAGCAGCAAGCACAGGACTGGGTTAACTGGCGGAACATGGGAGAAGCCTCTGTCCTGCAATGGACGTAGTCAGGTTTATGATGATGGTGATGATGCTGATGATGGTGATGATGATGTTGATGATGATGATGATGATGTTGATGTGTTGCACATCAGAATCGAAAGTTGGGCTAGTTGGATATGCATAGTATAACTGTCAGTTCAAGTGCACGAATAAACAGAAAGGAAGAGAGGACAAGCAGCTGTGCTCTCTTCCTTTCTCTTTATTCGTGCACTTGAACTGACACTGCTACTCATAAACATGACCAGAAGCTATCAAAAATAGAACGGCGCATAGTCAGACATCATCGCTAACAAGTAACACGCAGGTATTGTTGATCTTTAGCTCATCTGTGTACTTCGCGTCCTCGTAAAAGTGGTAATACCGTGCTAAACGCGAGAGGACGGATAGGTGGGGCCATCTAGAGGCGCGAAAAAGAACTTGGCAAAGAAAAAAGCGTATTATATTTCTCCGCTGGTGCTCATTCACGATAGCTATATTGTATTGACCCCTCTGCGTATACCTGAATGTTTTGTACGCCAAAACACACCAATACAGCTACCCGAGACACATGAGCTAATATAGCTGAAGCGTGCATCCTCGGGCACCTCTGCAGTGCTGCTTGGAACGGCGTCCATTTCGGAATCACTGTTCTGCAAAAGGTCAATCGAAGCAAAAATATTTCACGACGTCGCAAATCTCGGAAATTTCAAGCTACAGACTGTCGTATTGAACCCGAGTGGATACTTTGTACGGCGATGGCAGCAATGCATGTGACAAGGCATGACTGAATGTGTCCCCCTAGCAGGAGAAATGTTTGCGGAGCAGCTGAGCCTGACGTCACTCTTTTCTGTGGAAAAGTGTTAAGCTGTGGTGTGCATAGAGTTTCCTAACATAAACTAGAGGGGACTCTGGCGCTGCGATCGTTCCGCGACCGTGGGAATGATGGGTAGTACACACATTTGCCTAATCTTCATACTTGCGGGCGGCGTATCGTACTTGCAGCTTCGTTTACTTCTCGTTACGGTTTTGTTTTGAAAGAAAGAACAAACCCTTTTGAACTTAGTGATCTGATTTGAAATGGTAAGCCTAAAAGAGTAAGGTTGTGAAGCGCAAACAGTGAACATTTGCGGATTTATGTTTTCGTGAAAAAACAGCTCCAAGCCACACGAACACACACCGAACCAGAAGCAGGCCAGAAGTATGAAAATTAGACAAATGTGTGTACTACCCGTCATTCCTATGCTCGCTGAAGCGCCGCGCATTGCAGCTCCCATAGACGCTAGCGCCAGAGTTCCCTCTAGTGTATATTAGGAAACTCTCTGGTGGCATGATCTGAAGGTGACTGCGAGGTAGCGCCACTGCTGGTGCTTCCAGCGCTAAAAATGGCGGAGTTTCCGGCCGTTTTGAATATTGCTAGATACTAGGGATATAAATCAATAAAAGCGATAGCTATCCATCCCTCAGTTGCGTTTTAGGTCGCGAACCGCTGCTACGGGGTTTATAGCTACTCGCTGACGCAAATGTCTTGGCTTGAGTAAATTTGATGTCGCTGCTCCTTTAACACGTAAATCGAATAAATTCAGCCAACTTTCATTGCATTCGCTTTCATTTTCGTTATTACGGAGGAGTTAGGGTATTCACTATACCACTTCGCGTCGACAGATCGCTGTCTCTCTCCACGAACCGGCACGTGCTATTTTCGTCGTCTATCTGTTCTTCATTCTCTACTTAGCTTCGAAAGCATGTACGCCAGCTTGTCTGGCATGCTATGCATTGACTGCGGTGGGTGACAGATTAAGTACTGAGAGAGTGAGAAATATTTTGGAGAAATATTTCTTAACAAGGCGGCGTTTTAACCACCTACCCACGTTCTTAAGGTGACAGTCGTGGCCACTCGCCTCTGCTGTCATGCTATATCAGGGCACAACAAAGTAATTGATAGTATAGTTTATAGCAAGCGGGTGGTAAAAAGAAAATAGGGTGATGAAGAGGGAGAAAGGAGAGAGTCTAAAGCAAAAGGTAGCGTAAATAATAAAATGAGAATTGCAAAAAAAGGGAAAAAAATAGAAAGCGATGTGAAGTCATGGAAAGATGGAGAGAGAGGAATAGGTAGTATCGAGAGACAAGAAAACAAAATTTACTTGAGAGCCGAGAGGTCGTAACGCTTCGTGAAATGAGCCGAATAAACAGGGCAATCGCCTCAAACAGGCCAGAAAGAAGAAAGAGAGATAAAACAGACGAAAACACAGAAAAATAGAGAGGAGAGAAAAAGAAGAAAAGAGATCAGGAACAAAATGAAAGACAAAAAGGTCACCTACCTCCACAATTTATTCAAGCTTGTGTGAAGGTGCATTATTTCTATTTCTATTTTTTTTAGTATACCTTTATTCAGGCTATTTGTTATGTGTGCAGTACATTACGATGACGTCATTGCTTGACATGATTAGCGTGAAACACAGCTAAGAGGATGAAACTTATGCGTCCCTGTAGGCTATCGACACGATTCTTTTGATCTTGCATGGAGACGGAGTGGACGCTCTATCTTCACTTGTCAAATTCGATGAAACACAATGTAGGGGCCATCACCGGGCGATGAGACCATGGCGTAGTAGTCCATAACCATTCGATCCTGAAGAAAACAGCAGGACCACTGTCAAATCGGCAGTTTTGGGCCATTTGGTTAGGCATAACGAAAATTGTGTAGTCATACACGAGACACAGTTATTAACAGAGGGAAGGACACACCGCGCGCGTCATGCTTCCGGCACACTTTTTTAGCATTACCTAAAGCACTGATTATGCTCGAGAAAATAAACACAGGCCACACTACAAAAGCCGTTCAGACGAACAGGTGCATACTCTATACTGCTTTATTGTTTATAAACGTGACAGTTATGTGCTTAAATAAGTGTATACTAACGGTTTAACCATTGGACATGATGTATTTTGTTACCGCAGGGAGCTTCTAGCTATATTCGGGCACTTTAGCGTCTCTATTACCAAAAAAACACCTTCACGGGAGCGGTGCTGGTAACAACGCATACGCATTGAACAAGCTGATGAAGCCGTACTATAGCTGCTATATATATTAACACAAAAGGCCGAATACAGGCCAGGTGGCTGCCTTTTCGATTGAGAAGAAACTGTTCGAGACCCACGGGCTGACATTTCAGTGCACGTTAAAGAACCTCAAATGGTCAAAATCTTCGGAGCCCTCCACTACGGCGTCTCTCATAATTGTATAGCGCTTTTGGGACGTCAAATGCCAGATAATATTCTCCTATATATATATTGTCAGGCAGTTCTAATTGAATTGTTTTTTTTTTTGTAAATGGGCTTCATGCAAAAAACATTGTTACCGCAGCGCAAAGCAGCCCGAGCTAGTATGTATAGAAAAATTTTCGAGTGTATTACTGATAAGATTGCGTTCATTATTCGAGTAGCTGAATGCACATTAGAGCACTTGCGTCATCACCAGCAATAACCCTGTAAGGTTATATTAGATTGTTCATGCATACTAGATGACGTATTGCTCTGACGATGAGTGTATTCGATGATAGAAGACTTCACAATTCGCTGTAGATGGCATATGAGTGTCATACTTCTTATTGGCACAGCATTTGCGAATGAATCACTGTGTATGCAACCACCTGACTGATGACACCTTCACTGTTACGAGCATCTGACAATAACTTCAAGAAATAACCGATGTTCACTTGCGACCTCTTGCGTCTTTTTGTCTGGTGTGGACACTATTAACATCAGGGCTGCAAGATTTGGCTACATTACGCCAGAATGGCTGCTTTTAAAAGGCTACGGCGACAAAATAAAATAACGTTGGCAACTTGGGTACTTTGCCGCTATTGTTCTGGCACTCGCATTTTCAGATAATATACGCTAAAACTTATCGCAACTGTACAAAAAGAAGCGTTAGGTGTTGATTCAAACTGCCAGCTGCGGCTCCCTCAAAGTATTCGAATTTTTTTCACTCAGTGTACCAAGAACATGCGCCCAAAATGCCTCCCATGGCTTTAACAGCATTAAAGAACTCACATATATATAGGTAGCACTGTAACGTAGCTGGCGGCGGACTCGTTCCGGCTTTTCGGCCGCTATCTGCCTCACGCGCTGATGTCGGCGGTATAGGTAGTGCCACCCTATAGGCGACCGTTGGCGAAAAATGATTACCCGCGGCTCATAGAAACCTTGCGCAAAGCGCACACATCTTGCTGTTTTCGCAGTCATTTTAGGGGCGAAGCTCCTTACAACGGCACCCGTTCGTCCCTCATAACCGTTGTAGTTTGTAACAACTATAACATTTTAACCTCCAAAGTGGTGCCGGTGAGAGATTTCTTCTGTGCGTTGTTGAACAATAAAGAACAGTGCTCAATGTACATGCCAATGGCTGCTAATGGGGAATGAGAGACACGAGCATTCGGCTTTTAGTTAACGCGCACGCTTATATATACATGCAGTCATTGGCATGTACATTGAGCACTATCTGACAAGAAAGGGTTGCTACGTTATACTCGCTGGGCGCAACCTCCTTGGGTTTAGAAAGGTTTAGCGAACGTTGTGACGCAGTGCCACGAATACGAAGAACTAGTATATACCATGAATGAACTCGAGGTGGTTAAAGGTGGGAAGTAGATACGAAGTGAGAGCGGTAAAAAAGTAAAAGCCGAATTCTCCTGTCTCTCAATTCCCATTAGCAGCCGTTGGCGTGTACATACATTGACCACTATCTGACAGGAAAAGGTTGCTACGTTATACTTGCTGGGCGTAACCTCCTTGGTTTTAGAAAGGTTTAGCGAGCGTTGGGCGTCGGGCGTTAGAATGGTTTAGCAAGCGTTGTGCCGTTGTAGGTGCCATGAATACAGTGAACTAGTATATACCATGAACTCGAGGTAGTGAAAGGAGGGAAGTAGACCCGAAGTGCAAGCCGTAAGAAAGTGTGCGTGTGCCACCTCTCGTTTAGTCCTTGGAATGTCCGCGGGATGGCGGTGCTTCTATATGGGGAATATATCATGAAAAGCTGCGAGATGGTGGTACATGGAGTGTTGAATAGATGGACGAACGGACACACAGACAGATGCATGGATGGACGCATGAGCAGACGCATGGGCGGATGCATGGACGAACGCAGGCACGGACGCACGAACAGACGCACGCACGGACGGGCGGATGGACACATGGACGGTCACACAGACGGACGCATGGACGGAGCGAAACAAGAACGCATGGACGGACGAATGCTTCGCCCCACTCTCCATCATTCACTCCGTGGATATGCTGACAATTTTTTATTGTGGTTTAGTATTTTCACTGCCGACGCTGCTGCACTTGCTAGCCATGACTTTTGTCATGTCGACTGTTATATTTTATTTTTGTATTTGAACAAGTCAGCGTTGCTATTCCATTTACTTGGAAGTGTACAGGTCTGTGTTTTATCCCTTTGTGTGCGCACGATACGCTGCATGAGCTTTTTGCGTGAATGCGTCTAAGCTGTTACTTGTACGATATTATAACAAAAAGGCAATTAAAGGAAAACATTTGCATGCGAGGAGCCCAGCCAGTCTTCTTTAAGTGACTCTAGCTGCAGGCTGCACATCGCGCCATCTGTTATGGGGCAGAGTACGATGAACGCTTCGAAAACCTTGCCAAAACGCGTATTTAATTGCCCCGAGCTCGTGTATGAAGGATCAAGTATGGCACCTTCGTCAAGTTTAAGATGTGAGGGCCGACATGCCAGCAATGGAATTTTAAGTCGAAATATAGGCCTACCGGGTTGCATGAGGTGCTAATTCTCTGCAACACATTGCAGACAGGGCAATAAAACTTTGTTTCTCTCTGAATTTAATGCAGAAGCGGAGTGAGTGCTTTCTGTTGCGCCTCTTACAAGAAGTGACTTGAGGAATTGAGTGTGTGAACTCCTTGCAATCATAAGGGTGAAACTTGGACAACGTCAAAAAGGTGTTACAAGCTGTAGATAACGCGATTAAAAAACTGTGCTGCAGTTACTGTGACATATGCAGCACACTGCTCCCTCTACATTAATAGTGCCCCGGGGCCTGCTCGCAAAGGTAAACTCGGTTATGTGCACTTGACTGTTCTAGTCGTAGTGCCTCCTCCAAGAAGTTAGCTGACCTTCATTTAGCTCTATTTTGATGTGATAAACATTGCTGCGATGTATATTTTCTTATTATTGAAAGTCAGATTGTGATAATAAATCAGCTAAGCTGAAATCACGTTTGGCTGACTTTCAGGCTCTAAAATAAAATAACGGCTGCCGGTTGATTACTGTTCTGGTGACTTTGGTTAATGTTGTTACTCTCTTTCTCTTCGAAGATCTGGCAAGCCTGGTTAATACCTTCCTAAAAAGTGTATGGCGAATGGATCTGATCTGACGCAGTACTTTTGACTGGGAGCACTTAGCGAAATTGTACTCTGTTCAGGCTTCACATTTACACGTGATCCTGAGTAAACAGTGTGGTTTTAACTTTCTCGCATGATGTGCGCAGGGGTCCTAACTGAAAAGCAGTCTGCGCATGCACTTCTTTGAGAACGTCATCTAACAGTGCCAAACCGAACCACTTGAGGCCGATCCGGTGTTCCTTACTGTTGATATGTTGGTACACGTGTACTTCTCAGCTACTTAAGTATTCGCGATGTGTTTCAAGGGCTCACTGCATCTAAGGTGAAAACAGCATTACCATTCCAACTGTCAAAGCCAGAACATTTATTCCGCTTCATGCGGGAGATATCCATTATATGGTGCCGAATAATGCTGTCGGTATACAAGTAATTATCCGAAATATTTAGTAACCGGCAGCTTCTATAAAGTGTTGAATACAAATTGATCACTTTAGTTGCGGACAGCCTCGTACGAACGACTATAAGAACAGATCATTTATCATATATCAATATTGAAGACCTCGGCTATCTTTCTCAGGCAGATGTGTGGTATGTTGGAAATTGTTTGAACCTCCCGCGCGAATAGCGCGCGCACCAAGAGACGGAGAACGACGAGGAAGAAGAAGAGACCAACACAAGGAAATAGAACACGCTCTTTTACCATGGATGCTGGCGTTTGCGTCTCCTTCATTTGGTGCCTTTAAACTCCGAAGCGTGGTTTTCCCACATCGATTTTGGTGCCGACGACCCGGGAATCAAGCCTACAACGACCCGAGCCTTTCATTCCTGGTGTGGGTGAGCTGCGCTGCGAGCTAGACCGACATGGAGCGAGCGAAGAGCAAGCGGGCCTCGCGGCGATCGATGAACACGAGAATCATCAACGAGGTCAACCAGGTGCTCCAGTCCAATGAGTTCGAGCTTTCCGGACTTCGAATGCTGCACGGCCGCCTACGCGCCAGCAACGTGGAACTTAAAGCCTTGAACAACGAGGTTGAAACCCTGATCACTGACGACCTGGCGGCAGACGACTATGAGGTGGTCATGCAATACGATGACGCCGCTAACAGTACTCTGGCGTTGCTCGAGCACCACATTGAAGTTCTGAAGACTTCTGCTACGCCGGCGTCGTCTACAACTCCAGCCATGGGCGCAAGGACCTGTGAGGGTGCACCGAGCGAGCATGAACGACTTCCACAACGTGAGTTCGGCGCACGA